AGTCTTACTTTTCCTTTCATAGGAAGTTTTCTCCTGCTTTTGGTTTTGTTTTTTTTGATTGATTTGATTGATATATTTTTTTGTTTTTCGTTTGTTACTTTGACAGAAAGTTCTACTTTTCCTCTCATAGGAAGTTTTCTCGTGCTTTTGATTTGTTTGATTGATTGATTTGATTGATGTTTTTTTTTCTTTCGTTTGTTACTTTGACAGAAAGTTCTACTTTTCCTTTCATAGGAAGTTTTCTCCTGCTTTTGGTTTGTTTTTTTTGATTGATTTAATTGATATATATATTTTTTTCGTTTGTTACTTGGACAGAAAGTTCTACTTTTCCTTTCAAAGGAAGTTTTCTGGTGCTTTTGGTTTGTTGGATTCATTTGATTGATATATTTTCAGGCTTGCCAACCTTCCTGAATTTTTCCTGAAACGGCCTCTCTCTCTCTCTCTCTCTCTCTCTCTCTCTCTCTCTCTCTCTCTCCTTCTCTCTCTCCCTCTCTCTCTTCACACACACACACAAACACACACACACACTCATACACACGCACACACACACAATTTATTCCCTTCTTCTGCCATTATCTCCCATACTTACTCGATAGTTCTGAGTCTGAGCCGGGATAGGCACCACTCCTTCCTTCCAGCCTTGACCCTTGTTGCCACTCAGTTCCCACACTACCTGGCGTCCGGTTTCCGGGGCCGAGTCAATGCCAGTGTTGTAGGTGGCTACAGCCACTCTCAGTGTGCCTATGCCTGCTCCGTACATGTTGTAGAACATATGAAAGCAGCCAGCACCCCCAGAAGGAAACAGTGCACTCTTCAGGCGAGCCACATCTCCTCTAGTAGTTGAAGACGTCTCAGTAAATAAATAGGTTCCTAAGGATAGACGCAAAATCCAAATAAGCTTACACCCATCGCAAGCAATTCACCTAAGTCCAAATTTAAAGAATTCCGATTTTTAATAGTTTCCTAAGGATAGAAACAAAATTCAAATAAGCTTATGCCCAATTGCAAGCAATCCACTGTTTTCACAGATTTCAAGACGGCCAAAACTGTAATACCTGTTCCTTTAGTGTGATATATTAGATATATTTAGTGTTCATATTTAGAGAATTTTAGATTTTTACGTCCTCCCAAAACTCAATCAAAGATGCAACTTTCAGCATTACCAAAAAGCAGTACGGATACGATAGTAAAACACGATATACGGATAGGGTTACGTCTTTCCCTACCAGAACAATTTCCTCAATATGACCAAGCCATTTTGGCTGACATTTTTTCTTCTCTGATCTTAATCAGAAATTTGTTCAATTTGTTCTAAGAACTCAAATGTGTTGTGCATCTAAGTGCAGGCAAAGGAATTTCGACCTGATAGTGCAAAGAAAAAAAAGTAATGTGAGTGTGAAATAATGGTTTGTGCAAGTCTGAAGACAAAACTAATTTTTCAAGCAGCACAATGCGGCTCCCTCTGATAAAGTGTGGGTGGCAAAAGCTGGAAAATGCTGCTCATAGTAGGAAATGATTCAACTGCCTTAAAGAGAAACCTCTACAGTAGCCTGTTATAGTGGTGGGCGACACCTCTATTGCTCAAAATGGGCAGGCCCCTGCAAGAAAGGTGCATTTTGTTACAGCCTGCTCTGTCAATGGAAGCTTGGAGCTAGGAACAAATTATACATAAAGAAACAAAAGTCAGGATTATTTTACTTTTCTGATCCAGCAGCCATAAGAGTTCTAGTCCTTCAGCATGTCAATATGGCAAAGAATTTACAAGTTTTTATCAGCTTAAGTCAAGACTATATTGGTAGAGACTTACTTTTTATATATTTTTTTTTTTTAATTTACCTGATCTGTTGCCAAAAGTGTGATCATTAGTGGGTCTTGTCTCAAAAGAAAAAGTCCCGCCATTACCCATCACCCAGTCAACGTCATCACTTTTATCTTCAATCCAAGAACAGCGGTCTTTCTCGAAATCGCAAGTCCCTGAGGAGAAAACCATGAAAAAATATTTTGACTCTTTTCTTCCATGCCTCAACCAGAACTTCAGTCAACAATTCAGACCTATTTACTTCTTTTTTTGGTAAGTGTTTTACAGTGCTCTCAACTGCATAAGGTCATATGAGCGTGCGGGACACATCACAATATTGTCAGTTGGTAGGAAATCTTTAATTTTGCCCGCGTGGCGGTTCCCAGACAAGGGAGAAAAATCTCAGAGGTCCCATTTGCAAGTTGCACACGTTAAAGATCTCATCGCTTAAGTGGAAGGTTCTGACAACTTTCAATGAGCAATAGAATACAAAAAATGAAGAAGCTTTAACTCTTTCCAGACGTAGTTTTTTGGGGGTCTAGACATAATTAACCTGTGACTCGATTTGGCTATGCAGGTGGGGTACAAAATAACTTCATAAGAAGCATAACCATGACTCCAAATGTAACATATGATATATCAAATTGAAGGAAATTGAATGAGGAATACATCCCAATATAAAACAAGGATTAATTTTGAACATAAGTATGCATTACAAGGGTTAGAAATGGCGATGGTGAGGAGAAAAATAAAGTTTGACGGAAAAAATTACATTCACCAAACATGTGAAAGCAAATCAGCATAGCTATGCTTATTTGCTTTCACATGTTTGGTGAATGTATCTTATCATATACAGGCCAAGAGCATAATCCATAAATTTCTGAATATGCAGCTTTTTATTTGAAAGCAATATTCCAATTTTTGTTTGAGTTATGAAATTTATACAGAGTCCAGTTACATCGTTTTGCTGATGCAAGACCGCAAGAACTAATTCACTCATTTTTCCCTAAACACACGGTTGGACAAAGTAAAACTAGATGTTTTTGTTTCTTAAATCCTTTCCGAGTTTTTCAATAGCTATAAAAAGTAATTAAAAATGATGGATCATGTTAAAACGAAACAATACAGAAGCACCCTACCACAGCCGATACATCGATGATACATCCGCAAGGGGAGTGGACTCGCGCCGGTATATCGGCGATGAGTCCGGAGAGAGTTAATGAAATGATAGTGAGATGATTTTTTTCCGTGAGGAAAACGAAGAGACAAGAAAAGAGAACAAAGGCAGGCTGACTGTTGATCAAGCAGGGTTTTAGCTAACATTGAACAGTGGTCTTTGCCGATCTTGCTCAAGTACCTTTTCACACCCCTCTTTCTGGAGCTAACTTAGGTAATATTGACGATTTTTTTTTAGGACAGAATTCTCCTGGGCTCAAAACACGTGTTACAGAAAGTTGAAAGGTGAAGGTCAGCGAGTTACCAAGACTAAAGGTCATGAAAATAGTTCAGGAACATTCACTACTCCAACAAAATGAAAATCAAGTCTGAAAGAAAGTAAACATTCTGTTACATATGATATTTACCCTTCAGAAATAAAGAGCCTCTGTTTATAGGAAAAGTATTTTGTAGTTAAAATCAATAGAACAGCAAGCTGAGAAACCTTTAATAAATTATTATAAGGGACCAATGAGGTTTTTAGCAATGAGGAAAAGTGGATGAAAAGATACAGAAGAAGAAGAAAAAGAAGAGGCGTAAAAATTGAAATTACCTGTGCTGGTGGTACACGTTCCATTTCTGACCAAGATATCATCAATAGCAATGTTGCCAGAGAAGGAACTACCCCGTGTTGCTTCGAAGATCATTTGAACAGTGCCTTGGTTCCCAGAGATGGCAGCAGATGATCTTTGCCAGTCAGACCCTTGGTTGCCTGGTTCGGAAAAAAAATATCAATCAAAGGAAGACTTTCATAAATTTCTAAAACAGATCCAAGAAAGAATAAAAATCTGACCCCACGAATAAAAAAGAAAAAACTCATTATTTACCAAACTCAGGAGATTATTAGGAAAAGAATATTTTCTTTTGTGCTCTACCACCAACTGCTGACAAGTTCCACATAATAACGAGTACAACAGCAAAAACTGCCAGCACTGGGGTAATACTTCCTTACTGTTGTAAAAGATAGCAAGCATACAAACATAAACAAAAAACAAATATCTATCTTACAAGAGTTATTTATGAACACGCACTTTAGTTTTAGTACGGGGTCTTACGGCGCTCGAAACTGCATAATGTAATATGAGCGTGCGAAACAAGTTGGTTTCTTCTCAATAGCTCATTTCTCGGCCTGATTCTGGTTAATATTACTAATTTAAACATTTTTTACGCTAAAAATCGAGCGTAAATAGATTTTCAATTTAAAACAACTTTCTAAATAACACTTTAAAATCTCAAACAATCTATTTTATAACTTTCCATAAAGGCCAATTGCCTTCATAAAATCTAAAATTCTGCTGGGAACAGCGATGGAAAAAAATATCTTTCAATTTTTTGTATTTAAAATATTTCCTTCGGGTCTCTCCGAAGTCTAGACATTCGGTTAATAATGTGTTTGTTAGGGCCATGTGTCCAATTTGTAATCAAGTAAAAATGACTTCGTCTCTTCTGGAGAGGCCCGAGGGATTTCGCGATCCCTGTTAGGGTTTAATATTATGAAAACTACAAACAATCAAGGGCTAGTTAATAAAGTTCATACTTAGAACTTCATACCTGTTAGGGCCAGCAAAACAGTTGGGGCTGCAGTGCCTTTTTTCTGTGAGAGCTTCAGTGTACCCATTCCACTGCCTACCATACGGTACCAGAACTCCACACACAAGCCAGCAGTTCCCGTGTCCACAGAGTTGTCTATTAGCCTGGCCTTCTGTCCCTGTGTGTGGATGTTTGCTCGGATGTACATATAGTGTCCTGTAAAAAAAGACAGCTGCTTAGTTTCATGGAGGGTATAACACAGAAAAAACCCAGTCCGTCATCAATTCATACAACATCTCTTTGCAAGTGGAATGGGGGTGGAAAAAGATTTTTGTATCACCATTGATCTGATTTATTTTTTTCAAATAGTAGTTCACATATGTGAAGTTAAAAAGGTCATCTGCCAGATCACTTAACAAAGTTAAAGAGCTTTCATTGAATTTTCTTTCAGTCAGGTTAAACTATCTTTTCCAAAAAGGTCCATAAATTACCTAAAAAGGATATGCAAAGCAGAAAAGAGCTTGATTTTATAACAACTCCCAAGACAGTTTCAGCAAAGCCTCTATCTCTTTAACTGAATGTTCTTTTCACATGCTTTCAATCTTTTCAATCCATTCCACTGCTGCAATATTTTCCAAGCAAGCTGACAAAATTTGAGCTTATACTTTTTTTAGCTCAGAAACAGACCACGATCTTCCATCTACAAACAAAACATATACAGCTCAACTTCCACTAGAAGAGAATAAAACCAGACTTCCCCCAATGTGTTCTTTGTGTGGCTATGCATATGAGACAGTGGATCATCACCTTTTCTACTGCACAGCCCTAAATGACCTCAGATCTATATTTCTCCCTCAGAGACCTAACATTGACAACACACTCTACGGAACATTACAGCAGCTGCAACAAACCTGCACTTATCTCTTCATGGAATTGAACAGAAGGGTGAGAGCCCCGCTGTTGCTGGATCGATAACAACAACAACAAAAACCCTTCTCTCTCATCTCGAGGTACATTAAATTCAAAGGTTTATGTTTGGATTTTACCTTCAAATGAGGTGCAATTAGTATGATTTAATGAAGGCCAGCTCAAAGGTACATTAAATTCAAAGGTTTATGTTTGGATCTTACCTGCAAACGACATGTAAGTATGATCCACTGAAGTCCCACCATTTGGATTGAAGCTACCATCAATTCCTCGAATCCAATCAAAGTCATCAGTTTGGTCTTGACTGTATCCACATATACCTTGTTCAAAGTCGCAGGTGGGCCCAGAGACACCAAGGGGAGCTGGAAGCAGAGCCAAAAGTCAACCAGCTATCACTTCTTCTATCACACCACCAAAGTGCCCAAAAAGCATTCCTAATGGACGTCTCTATCAGGAAGAATTAATTTCTAAAAATATAGAGCATTTCCTGGGGAGGGGGGAGGGCTCGTGGTCTAGAGGTTAATAGGTCCCGAGTTCGAATCCGGATAGCAACGGAAAATTTACTTCTAAAAGATTTTCTCTTGTCACATCCTTTCCTGCTCTCAAACAATGTTATGTCATCTGTTTTTGTCTCCACTTTCTGCCCCCTACCCCTCCCATCCTTTGCCCCCTTCTCTGGGCTCCTGACTCTTTCTGCAGCCTTTCTACTGCTACTCCTTCTTGGCTCCTTCTTACTGCTGTCTTTCACCCACTCCCCTGATCTTCGGGTAGGAAAGATCTACACCTAGCCTCTCAGTTAACGGCTAAAAATCTCAGAGGTCTCATGTGCAAGTTGCCCACATTAAAGATCCTTTGGTAGTATGCTTCAGCCCCCATCCGGGCAAAATTCAAACTTTCCTACTGACTGAAAATGTTTAATGTGTCTCGTGCACTCATATAACCTTATGCAGTGGTGAGTGCCATAAAACACCTAAAAAAAAACAAGTACTTCTAATACTGGTGACTATAGAAAACCCTAGTCAGTTTTGAAAGTCTGTTATTTTAGATGTGCTCTTAAGTCATAAAGTACAACATGTTTTCCTACTTGTGTGCAAAAGGTTCCATACTTAAGGGAAGCATGAGTGTCTAAAGTTGATGTTCTCATTTCCACACTTTTTTTTCTCATCTGGTCAAGCTCCGTCCTTGACAAGGAAGGACAACTGACACAAAGTGGTCAGCCACAGCAATGCCTTCATTGCACATTTCGGACATAAAAATGAACGATAGAAATGAACAGCTAAAAAACCTTTGAAATTATAAATCAAACAGTCATCAGTTTGCTGGTTTGAAAAACTTAATTCGATAAATCATAACAGACAGTATTTATCCTATCTTTGAATGTCATTTTTGAGTAAACTTTTTGTCTTCAATAAAGGTGAAAACAATTTTTCACAGATTCTCTTCTTGCTTGAACAAATATTTTCTCAACCTAATGAAGGAGAACATGTCTAAAACCATCCAGAAACTTTATATGTTATCAAACACACTTTACCAAACAGCTCAATGTGTTCATTATTGAGTTGAGTTGTCCAGAAAACGAGAATCAAAATGAACAATTGGGGGAGGGGGGGTACCAGGCAAAAACAAAAAAAATTAAAATTTCCAAAAACAAAAAAACCTGAAACATTTCGCTGAGGAATACCGCAACCTTTTGTGCTACCAGAAAGCATTTAAAGTTTACCAGGATGTGGTAGATGAAAGAAATATTGTAACCATTCCCTTTTCAAGTCTTTCAAATTCCCTTTTCAGATGCCATTCTCCTTTACACCCCAAAAGTGACAAGACAGATGTCCTCATTTTTCAATTGAATCCATTAAGAAATCTGTTTTGAAATTAACATGGAAAGAGCTGAGCCAAAAAAAAATTATTCGATAAAAATTGCCAATGGGTGGAAATATGCTGAGGAAGGGGGGGGGGGGGGGGGGGGGGGGGGGGGAGAGAGGGAGAGAGAGAGAGAGGGAGAGAGAGAGAGAGAGGGGGGGGGTGTTCTTTTTCATTATTTTGACTAGCACAAGGATGGATACAAATTGCTCCCTTCCAACTGAAAAAAATGTGACTGCTTTTCTATGATGGTAATTACTAAGTCTTTACTGCATATGTGAGGCATTGTGGTGAAATCAAGGGCTTGTGAAAATAATGAAATTGTAGAACCTGGTTTTTTTTCACTCAAGTGGCAATTTTTATTGAATTTTTAAGTTTTGGCTCAACACCTTTATGTCCATTTAAAAACATATTGATGTGTGGATTTTACCCCCCCCCCCCCCCCCCCCAAAAAAAAAAATAATAAAAGGCACACAAAAAATGAAAATTTACAAGTTCCAAGGACTCTAAACCTTTAGAAAACACCAAAATTTGACTGCCATTTCCTCGCTAATTTATATAAGAAACAAGGCAACCCCCACCTCCTTCAATCCCAAATATCTAGACTTCTGTTGAAGATAGATGGGTAATATTTTCATTAAAAGCAAGACAAATGAACAAGCTTTAAGATACCAATAATTCTATAAGCCCAAAATTTGCCAAGCGCCTGATTCCACTGTGTCGTGACACATATGAAGACTTACACTGTCCACAGGCGCCATCCGAGATGGTAATATCATCAATGGCTATGTCGCCTTCAGGACCACTGCCTACGTCAGCCTCAATCACCAGCTGGAAAATGGAACACAAAGCCCATAAATTAAAGCATTTGTAAACTTTTTCTAACAAAACTACTTAAAGAAGGAAGAAAAGAACAGCAAATAAAACTTTCAACAGTTGTAGTTCCCACTACGCACATTCCATATGTATATTATATGCAAGTTCTTCATTTCAAAATTACTCATTCTTTCTTCCCTCCTCAAAGAAGTAAGAAATCCAATACATTCCCCGCTATGACAGCAGAATACAGCAAGAAACATATTATGTGAGGCAGTGTGGTGAAATCAGGCACTTGTCAAAATAATTATAAAGTCTATTAACATGCATTTTCCCGCATGTTTGGGAATTTTTATCGAATTTTTGTTTTTCATGCCTTTCATGCCTATTAAAGACCACATTTCTTTGTGGATTTTAGTTTTTTAAAAGTTTGATTGAAGGCATAAAAAATGTAAGTTTTCAGTTTCCATGGACTCTCAAGGTAAGGAATTAACTCAACTTTGATGGCCATTTTCTCGCTTATTTACCTCTGAAATTAGGCGACCCCCATCTCCTTCAATCTCCAATATCTTGACTTGTATCCAAGATAAATGGATTTTTTTTATATCAACAGTTTTTATATCAAAAGCAAGGCAAATGGACAGGCTTTAAGATGATACCAATGACTCCATATGCCCCAAATTGACGAGCGCCTCATTCCACAGCGCCACATCACAAATGAACAGTTTGGAGACAAAACATGACAAACACCATTTTAAAGTTAGGCCAATACTAGTACCGTTGTACCTAAAAAGGTGAGGCACATTCCAATCTATTCATATCCTTTGCATACTAAGTTGATATTACTTACAGCAAAAGCAAAATTACATGATATGTACAAATAAAAATCAACACCATTACTACCTAACGTATTTCACATGCCAACATACATCAGTTACATAATTATGAAAATGGTAAATTAAAGAAAAACCAAGCTATGTGAAGGACCATTTTCAAAAACTAAAAACTAAAATACTATCCATGCTATTTATGAAAATCACATATTTGTATTCAGCAAACAGATCTTAATAAATGAAGATGGCTTTTCTTGAAATAGTAAACATTAATAGTTAATTTATTACTTTTAGATGATATGCATTTTAGCGAATTAAGAAATATAGTCAAAATAACAAAGAAAATAATTGTTTGAAATTCTTTTTTCAAATACAAGAAAAAAGGTAGCATCATTTTGTTTGAAATTGAATGATGCACTTACCCTCCAAACTTCACGAGGTTTGTTGTGGTTTTTTTTACGGTTTTTGAGTTTTAAACCTCTAAAGTCATGAAATGAACATTTTGAGAAAACCAGCAAAAACTTCAAGAAAGTGCTTTTAAGCATAGTACTTGTTCACAAAGATTTCTTTGAAATAGGACTTAAATTGAGAGTACTTCCGTTTGATTTAGCTCACAATTTTCAAGGAAAGTTTTTTTTTAAATCCCTAAAACATTGTCCAAACTAGACTCCAAAAACCTGAGTGTACCCTTAAAGATTTCATCTTTACCATAAATTATTTTACGACAAAAAATTAAACCCAATCCAAAAAACAGTTCTTTCTAAAAGATAACGCCCTTGAAGAAAAAATTTGGAAGCAAAAGAAAATTACACGAAAAAGAAATGAAATAATAAATCCTCTTCACCTGTAAACGGTACCGAGCATGAATGTTTAGATCAGCCCGGAACCATTGATTGCCTTGTGTTCCATTCTTAGCCCAGAGCAAATAGGTATAGGAGTGAGCCAATCTAGAGATCTTCAGAGTGCTCACATCATCACCCCACATATAGTACCAGAAGGTGAGACATTTATCGCCAGCTGGAATGGATGGGCTAACCAATTTTGCAGACTCATGGTTCTTTTGGGGCGCTGATGTAGAGATGTAAGCAAAGTATCCACCTGTTTGGAAAATGAAAATACAAGTTTTAATTAAATGAATATTCTTATTGCCTTATTTCAAGACATTCACACTTATATTATTAGAAAATAATCAGAATCCCTTACCATAAAAGAGTCAATAAATAGTTACCATAAGTGTTCACTAATAATACCCAAATGCCTGTCTGTTATAAAAGACGTCAGTCATCAGTCGAAGTCCGACCATACACCAAACCAGTCATGTTGGTGATTTTGTTATCAACATAGATCTAGTCCATCAGCGTCCGGGGTGTACCAGTTATACTCTTTGCTGTTGCATGCAGGAGACCCAAGTTTAATTCCAAGGCGAGAAGAAATTTGTATCTAGTATCTCTGCATTTCTACTAGGATGTTGTATCCCTCTCACCAAGGCTTGCACCGACAGGCAAAGTCAGAAGCCACCCTACTAATTGATCTAATTTGTGTCAATGCAATAAGAACACCCTCTTTTTCTGTTTTTAATTTAGATCTAGCAGATATCTGTCAGAACAGAAAAAGAAGAAGATCAGCTGAAGAGATCAGTGAGCAAGTCTTTTTTTTTATCCCTTGCCCATTTATATGAGATTGACGCCATCTAATTAATATAAAAAGTGCGTATGATAGTGTCCAGTAGTGCATTACATACATACATAGTATGACAAGTAACTTTTGCAGATAGAGATTCAAGGATTATAGACGTAAATCAATGAACTGAGAGCATTGCTGATTTTTAGAAATAATGGTGGTGATGAGTGATGAAGTGGGATTGCGTCTTAAGTAATGTTAGCGATATTCCGATATCTTCCTCTGCTCCAATGAGTCACGGGGAACGTGGACACGCTCTATCCCATTCCCTACTGGAACCATCTTTAATGTCACCATGAATTTCCGGCGAAATCTGACTTACTCCCTGAATGATCTTTGTCTGGTCCAGACTGCCGGGTGTGGGCCCGCTGAGCCTGTCTCTGCCACTGAAAGTTATCTCCCTGTGTGTCCTGACTCCAGCTGCAGAACCCTACATCAAAGTTGCAGTCCACTGTGCCCGTAGCTGAAATCATAAAGCCAAATGTAGCACAATTTGGTTACATAAGTGCAGAAGATTACAGGAGTTACTAGAGGGTAACACACATATAAAAGAAGGAGAAGAGCTGAGGATGATCAATGTTTGATAGGAAAGAATGAGCAAACCACACCTAAGCACCCGCCAAACACCCGCTCATTTATGTATATGTACATATGAAGAGCTTTGTGACAAAACACATTAGAGTGAAAAACACAGCAAGAGCTTTTTTTTTCAATACCAGTATGCCAATAAAGAAAAAAATCTGAACTTAAGCAGCATCATAGGCTGAAGTACTTTTTGTGACAAAATATTTTAAAGCAGAAAGGGACAAAGATCATGTAGTTAACTGAAGGGAAAGATGGGGAAATCTAAATATCGGAAATGACCCATTTAGTCATAAAGCCAATCTTATATATCTCACTTGTAAAAGTTGTGTTTTATACAACATAAAATTACATGGTAACGGGAAATGCTTCCATAAATGGTGAATTGGTATAGAGTTAACACCCCTATCAACACTATTTTAGTTATTTAAGAGGCCAGATGCCCGGTTTTAACATCCATCTCCAAAAGCACACAGCCAAATGGGAAATTTGGGTAGAGTGCCTTTCTGAATGGACTCAAACTTGGACTAAGATGAGGCTCGAACCCCGAACCCTCAGTCTCACAGTTACAAGTCTGAGGCTACCGACGCCACCATGCTTGCAGACTCTAGTGATTTAGAATGGATTAAATAAGGCGAAAGTGAAACAAGAAGATGACAGAAGTCAAAAGAAACAGGATGTTAGATTATCATTGACAGTCAGAAGATTAAACCGAAAAATATCATAAAATTTAATTTCACGAAAGGGTTGTAGATAGGCCTATATTAAAAAATTCCCGATTTCAAAATGTAGTACACTAAAATCTCAAAACTTACTAAGCTTTTTTTTTTAAGTGTTTGTACGAACAATAAAGGCATTGGAGAGCACTGGCATTGAGCCAGTTCGCAAAAGTCAGACAAACGTTTACCTGGTGGTGTGGGAGATGCTGGCCTGAAGGTCACAGGGGTAGATGATGGTTGAGCAGATGTGGGATTTACTGTTAGGATGAGGAAACACAATATTACAAATCTGCCGTAAGCTGACAAAAAGCTTTTTTTCAATTTGGTGCCAAAGATTTTTATTTATTAAATCGAAAGTCTGTTCAGTTACCCTACTTGTGAGAAAAAATCAATGTCAAACTGTGCCTAGTTTTTTAATAAATTAGAATTCAAATTCCAAAGCCCTCTTTTTTTCAATGGTTATGCTGACATAAAACCTTTTTTCCTCGAAACTACTAAGAATTTTAAAAAGGCGTTTTGTCAGTTTACAGTAGAAATTAAGATAGCTCTTAAGACCCGATCCAAACCGGAAGTCAGAAGGGCAAAGTTAGGTTCATAGATCATATCTGAAACACTTCTCTTATGATCAACAAGAGAGTTTTTCTACAGCTTCATAATATGTGAGTGTGCTTGGAGAAAAGTTCCAGTTGTCAGAAATTTTGGATATTAAAATAGAGGTTTTTTCTTGCAGTAAATTTAACGCTGAACACATTCATTTTTTTAAAAATTATTTTCTTGAGTAGTTTTACAGATATGCCACATTTTGTCAATCAAGGTGTAAAAACATAGAAAAACGCCTTTTACCTTAGCATGTTAACTCAATTTCTAGCCCACTTTTAACCTTTGGTGAAGTACATGTTGCAAAAATAATTAATTAAAAAAATATTTAGACTTAAAATATTATAAAAATCCTTTCAACGTGTTATTAAGAAAAGGCTTAATGTATGTTTTCTGATGGAACTAAATTTTTGACCAGGTATAACTTTTTTGACCTTTTCACCCTGTAGCTCAAATTAATAGCTTTGCCGACAACTGGGACTTTTCTCTAGGCATACACACATAATGTGTGCTACAAAAAGCCTCACTCTCATTAATGCTCAGTTGTGCATTATGTTTGGATATACTTGTCAGATGAGGGAAAGCAAAAGCTAACAGCTGCACCTGCATGTGCATATGTGAAGCATGCTGACAGAATGAGTTACTTCTCGGATTCAAGCCTTAAGTTAAGGAAATCGATAAATCACTCTTATAGATGAAGTTTTTACAATTTATAAGTATAGAATAATAAAAGACAGGTTCTAGTTAAAGAATATAGCATTAATTTTAAAAAACATCTACAAATTTGACCTTATTGAAGGTGTTTGGACAATATCTTCGTTTGTGCATTGCGATAAGTAACTCATTTTGTCAGCACGCCTCACATAAATTCATCAGAAACAGATCAAATCCCTCCCAAGTGGACATAGGAGAAGCAAGCAGACAAATGGCATCATTTAAACATCAAGTAACAACAGAAAAACTGCAGAGGAAAAAGAACCATCGTTCAGAGAAAGAGGATACAGGTAATTGAAAAGCCTTACAAAATGCCCATGTTGGCTGAAGACTTGAGAAACTAAGATGCACATAGTGACTCTATGGGTATGCCAGTAAGAGAGGAGAGATGATGTACTTGTGGCTCTGAAGCATATGTATATGTTATTATTCCTCTTCTATCATCATCTTCAACAATTAAATGTGTTTTCTGTCTGTCTCTCTTGAGACATGAACCGTCGTGCAATTCTGTTCAGCACAATATTAAAACAGAGTACCTTCAGTCGGTACCCTCTTACCCGGTAACAAATTAAATTCAAAGCTTGAAGAAAAGACTGTTCCAGCTTTCTTTCACGCAGAGACGATGATTTTTTAAATAATTGTTTTAACCCTTTTTGAGCCATACCAGCTTAAACCGGCCTTCCCAACAAGCTATCATACCGCCTTTCACCAGTCTGACACACCCGTCTTTAGCGCAGGTTTAAAAATAAGAACATTCCATTCAAGATTAAGATGCTGATGTCCCAGGTCTTTCTATGTTAAATTTCACAGAAATATGTCACTTAGATCAAACAGAAAAGCAATTTCTTTGCTACACTCCCTCGACCTCTGAAAAGCACTGGAGTAATTCGGTACTGGGAAGCCATCAGCTGGTCGTTATTTTGGTTCTGCTATATTGACCGACCTGCTGACCTATTAGTTGTGCTAAGAGGGTTAAATAACCGTTCAAAACATAAAAACTTACTTCCACAGGGAGCATTGCTATAGCCAAGATCATCAATGGCTATATCACCATAGGCATTTCCGCCTCTTACGCCTTGAACGTAAATCTATTCAGGAAAGAGAAAAAAACAAAATTAAAGAGCATGGCACTCAATGTACATGAAACTTAACTCCTTATAAATCTCAGGCAAGCCATTCCTCAGAACCGCTGTGCCAGTGAGCTGCTGGTAGTGGGTCGGGCACATTCCTTTACGATGACTTCAACGTCAAATTACTTTTCAGCAATTGCCAAAAACAGGTCTTTTTTGCCAGGAGTTCATCATTAGATGAAGAGCTATCCAAATCGGTTCACTTGCTTTGATTTAATGACCAATAATGACATTTATGTTAGTTTTTTACTTTTGTACCGAAAAAGGGCCCCAGCATAGTGAGTTTACCCCCCTGGGAAATTTTGTCCAAAATGTTTGGAGATCTCATCAGTTTTAAGATAAGAATCCAACAAAGATTTCACATATAGCAAACATCAGCTGAGTCATACACAATATTTACTCTGAAACAATTAATTGCTCAAGATTTTTCAGTAAATAGATGAAAAACAGAAATCTTTATTTTTCTCAAAACCGGATAAATGGATATGTCACTTTTTGTTGCGAAAGTGTTCATTTCTTCAATAATAATAATATCGAGCTTATACACTTAGCGTCAATAAAAACCAGACACATTTTAATTGCGTGTTTCATGAAAAGTTGAAAATCCATTGAGCTGAAATTTTCCACACGTCATTGTGAACACTTGACACTCGTGATCAGCCTGCATTTATGATCAGGTGCCCAGTTAATAAAGCTCAGGTCTTGTTTTGTTAAAAACCGTGTTTTTTCATTTTTCACGAACGTTTTTTTTTGTTGTTTTTTTTTAATTGGTTTAACACATCTTTTATCTGTAGCCAAGAATAAAACGTTAAAAGTTTCATTTCAAGACATCTAAATCTAAAGATACAGCATGCCGCGTTTAACGAACGAAGAGCGCAATCAGGCAGTTGGTATGCTGAGGGCCAATACGCCAGTAGCGAATGTTGCAAGGACCTTCAATGTGACAAGAGACACAATATATCGACTAATGAATCGTTTGCAAACGTCTGGATCCGTGCAGGATGGTCCCCGGACGGGTCGTCCTAGAGCTACAACACCAGCCCATGACCGGTACATTCGGGTCTTACACCTACGAGATTGCTTCCGGCCTGCTACCAAGACAGCCAGGGAGGGGCCGGGACGGAGAACCATAAGTGCCCTGACTGTGCGCCGACGCCTCAGAGCTCAAGGTCTCATTCCTAGACGCCCTGCTCGACGCATCCGCCTGCTCCCGAGGCACCGCCGAGTCAGACTCAACTGGGCCCGCCTGCACCGACGGTGGATTTTGAGACAGTGGGATAATGTGATGTTCACAGATGAGTGTCGTTTCCAACTGCAAAGCAATGATGGAAGGCAGCGTGTCTACAGAAGGATTAATGAACGTTTCTCCAACAGTTGTGTGAGTTCAGTTGGAGATAGGCGTGGTGTCATGGCCTGGGGTCGGATAACCAGCACCGGCCGCACTTACCTCGTTTTCATCAACAGACGCTACCTTGATGAAATCATTCGCCCGCACGTCCTCCCATTCTTGGCTCGCAATGGAAACACCATATTCCAACAGGACAATGCTCCAGCTCACTGTGTCCACCTAACCACAAACTTTTTGAACATCAACAATGTGAATGTTCTCAATCCATGGCCGGCTTTGAGTCCCGATCTTAACCCCATCAAACATCTTTGGGATATGATGAAAAGGCAGCTCAGAGCCCTTAGACCTCAGCCGGTCACCTTGAATCAGCTCCGTACAGCACTTACAAACATATGGAACAACATTCCACAGCATCCCATACAAAGACTTGTGCGAAGCATGCGGCAGAGGTGCACAGAAGTCGCCAATGCCCACGGCGGCTATACGCGGTATTAACTGTAACTTTTCATTTTAGGGCATACAATTAAAAGATCAAATTTCAGGTTATAAAGTTCATTTTTTTAAATTGTTTTTTGTATAATTGATTTGTAAAATGTTCAAACTTTCCTTATAGAGAGATTGTTTCTGGTTAAAATCAATCTTCCAATACAAAAAGCACTAAAGAAGGGGTGTCTGGTTTCTTTTGACGCCAAGTATATTTCTTCTAAAATAATTATACAGTACTTTCATTTCCTTTATGATAATTATACATACATTTTTTTCTATCTTTATTATACTTACATTTCTTCGATAATAATTGTTAGGCATTGCAGTGGAATCAGGCACTTGTCAAAATAATGAAATCGAAGTTACCAGTTTTCTGCCAGATTTGTTTTTTACCCTTTTAGATCCATTTAAAACTACATTCCTGAGTGGATTTTACTGGAAAACTTTGATTAAAGATGCAAAAATTGTACACTTCCCATTTCCAAAAACACTACAGCTTTGTAACTCTACAATCTTTAGTGGCCATTTTCTCACTAACTTTATTTCTGAAACCATACAACCCCCACCCAACTTCAATCACAAATAAAATTACTTCTACTCATGATAGACGGGTATTTTTTTTCAAGGAAAGATAGACTAATAAACAAACTTTAAGATGACACCAATAATTTCGCATACCCAAAAACTGACGATCGAGCACCTTATTCTACCACGTCATGACACGGTTGTACTTACAAAGAAGCTGCTGTAAGGGGAGCGAACTCCCACCTGTCCACTGAGCCAAGCATTGTTTTGTGCTCCACTGAGCTTCCACAGAGTCGTGTTCTGGGAAGGGGAAGCACTCAGCACGATGCTCAGATCTCCGATGCCAGAACCGGCCATGTGGTACCAGAAGGTGAAACAACTACCATTGGTGGCCGGAAGTCTAAGGGCAGACAGAAAATAGTTGTTGATGCAGTTTATTAACCTCTTGACTACTAACCGTATAATATGCACCCCACATGCTCAGGAAAATCCCACCATGCCAAAGATGTCACACGTCACAATCTTTAATCTACGATTGTTTAATGCTTATTATAAGAGATAGATCAGTAAAACTTGTATCAATAGAAAGAGAAATGAAGGGACGAATTCATCCTTTGACAAGACCTGTGTATAACAAGCCATAAAAAATGGGTTTCAGACACCATACGGGATGCGTTTACAGAGCACTGGGCGGCTGATTATCGACATGATTGGGATAAGTCTGCAGTGCAGTCAAGGGGTTAAGAGAGTGTAGAAAATTTCAGAGACATAAAAGAAGTCATATAAGGTGGTGCTGAAAGAAGCCAGTAAGGGAAGGTCATTAATAATAATAATTGGGGAGAGACTTAAATGCAGGTCCTAGGACTTTTGAATTAACATTGCTCAAGGCCTTCAACATCATGCTCTCACTGGAAAAACCGATGGCAAAAAAGACAGAAGGAGATCAAGAATAAATAACGCTCTTACAGAGTGTTCTAGTCAGGAGAAAGGAACAGAACAAGGCAATAAAGAAGTTGTTGGGTTTTTCAGAGCACTCAAGCAAAGAAATGAGTGATGAAACGTGATTGTATGCGTCATTTCAGAACTTGTACTTGAAGAAGAAAAAGAAAAAGAAGGAGGAGGAAGAGAAGGAGAAGGAAGAGAAGGAGGAAGAGGAGGAGGAGGAAGGATAACAGGTGTTTGCCAAGTTCAATGCCCTCCAATAGTCAAGAGGCATCATAATATTCAAGTTGCAGGTTTGTTCCTTTCCATCATAGTCATAACACAATTGCTTAAGTCATTTTCCCCCAGATTTCTAGTTATTGGTATGGTAAAAATAATGTTACTTGACCACAATACCTTCACTACAGCAGGGTTTTGTTTCAGAGGCAAAATATTCAAATTACTGAGACATTTCCATGCTTTCTTTAGTCATTAGGCTGAAATAAGAAAACTCCAGGGGCTTTTTGTTTTTTTAAGCGCCTTCTCAAGACAACAAAAATTGACTTAAACAATTGAGTTAGGACCGTGGCTATATTTGCTTGGGGGCTAGTATTGTGAGAAAAAAACTTACAAGATGCTATTGGCAAAATGAGTTGCTTCTCGCAATCCACAAATGGAGATACAGTATTGTCCAAAAATCGACACTAGGGTAAACTTTTTACATTGTGTATTGATGCCATATTCTTAAAGTATAGCACTCCTTATATTATTTCACACTAATAAATAGTCAAAACTTCACCTGTAAGCTTGATGTATCTATTTCCATAGGGCTTGAATCTGAGAAGTAACTCATTTTGTTAGCTCGCTTCACAATTATAGATAACCATAATGCAACACAATAACAAATATATGAAGGGAACCGAGAGGAAGTAGGCAAACAAGAGCATGTCACAGCCACTCATAGACCTGTGGCAAAGGGCAATACTGACCTCTCACTGGACAGAATAACTCTCTCCCCTCTACGTCGAGGAGCAGAAGCTTCAAGGTACAAATAATGGCCCGAGACGGTCTGCGTGGTATGATCTGTTGTGGGTCCTGTGCTGTAGGAACCTGAGGAATGGAAAAGCACAGAGAGATATGGGAGGCATCGTGGTTAAATCAGGTGCTTGTCAAAATAATGAAATCAAAGAACTGGCATTTTCTGCCAATCTGGATCTAATTCGTTTCCAAGTTCAACATTTTGTATGTCCATTTAAAAACACATTTCTCTGCAGATTTTACTGAAAACCATTTTTTTAAAGCAACAAAAACGTAAACTTGTAGTTTCCAAGGACTCTCAAGCTACGCAAATCATCAAACTTAGGTAACCATTTTCTCGATAATTTTACTTCTGAAACCAGGCGACCCCCATCTCCTTCAATTGAAAATATGTCGACTTCTATTCAAGACAGATGGGTATTTTTTCATCAAAAGCAAGACAATGAACAAGCTTTGAGACGATACCAACAACTCCAATAATTGACGAGCACCTGATATCACTGCATCGTGACACATTAAATATATTTTTTTAAATTTCAGGATTTAAACGACACAGGCCCAGATTTCACAGAATACACTAGCACAATGACCTTGAGATAAAGTAAGAATATATAAACTCTAAGTATAAGGACTCCCTCATACGCCACTTCTCAAAAACAGCATCTGGCCGGATATTACACTAAGCAGTCAATATCACAATTTTTGCCGTAAATGTTATCATTACTTTTATTATTGTTAATCTTTTACATTTGATACAAGATTTACAATCATATCAAGCTCTCTTAAACTCTAATTAGGTACGACTTAAACTATAACAACAGATCTAATTTCATCTGTTCAACTTCAACAAGAGTAAATCGGGATATGGTTCTCAAAGGAACTTTATTCTTTTTTTTTTTTTGTAAAGTGTTTTACGGCATTTGCAACTGCATAAGGTCATATGAGCGCGCGGGACACACCTAATATTTTCAGTTGATAGGAAATTTTGAATTTTGCCCGGCTGGCGGCCGAAGCCTACTCTTATCGATTTTAGACCACCAAGGGATCTTTTATGTGCGCAACTTGCACACGGGCCTTCTGAGATTTTTCGCCCTTGTCCAAGAAGGTTAGGTGTAGATCTTTCCTACCAGAAGATCAGGGGTGTGGCTGAAAGATAGCAGTAAGGAGTCAAGGAGTAGCAGTAGAAAGGCTGCAGAAAGAAACTTTTTTTTTAACACCCAAGCTAACACCAAAAAAAAAAAAGAACGCGGGTGGCTGGAGGGCAGCAGTAATAGATCTTACTTTTTATCTTTTTCTCTGTTGTTATCTCTGAAACCTTCTCCAAAACTTACCTGTTGCTCCACTCAGTTTTTGCCAGTCAAAATCAGCGGACGGCACATTTATCCAGGAGCACAAATCCCTCTCAAAGTTGCAAGTGGCTGAACATAAATCAAACAATATAATTACAATAAAATAAGATAAATCTTTATTGTCCAGATCCTGGAACATTGGTTTGGTGTTTCAACACATACATGCCGTATGCATGCACGCATGCACGCATGCACACAAGCACATGCACACACACGCACAAACACATACATACACACACAGGTGGGCAGACCCATACACACACACTCTCTCACACATTCTCTCCTCCACACACATCTATGCACATAAACATAATAATATTATAATAGTATGCTTGCACTCACAATCAAGCTCACAGTTGCATGCATCATATAAAGGAACAATAATTGTTAAGAGTAATAGTCCTTGAAGAACACATGGTATATTTCACAAAGTACTGTTACCAAAGGGTTACCATTCATTTTCAGAAAGATTCTGTACCAAAGGACAACCGATAACCAACTGTGTATTGCTATATGCTTTTCATAATACATAAGAGAATTTGCACTTGACAGAAAATGCACAAAGTATGATTCTTCCACAACTTTACCATTTTAACTAGCCCCCCCCCCCCCCCCCCCATCCTCCACATAACACACACACACACACACACACACACACACATACAAACACACACACAAACACACACACACACACACACACACACACACACACATACACACACACACACACACACATCAAACACATGCATAAAGCACTCTGATATCATCTATCAAAAACAATAAATCCCTTCTTTACACCTTTAAACAAATTAGTGTAAAACAATAAATTTCTTTGATCTTATTTTCAAAGAAGTCAGCTCGGCTTCTGATTGCAATAGAGTCATCAAGTAGATAACTTTTCCCAAGATGGGGAGACTAAAATACAAAAATTTGAGAAAAAAAAATTGAAACTAATACCCCCCACCTATACACGGCAGACAGTACAAAATATTTTTTTTATGTGAGGCATCACAATGAAATCAGGCACTCTTTAAAATAATAAAATCGAAGAAACAGGCATTTTTCCATCAGTTTGGGCAATTTTTATCTGATTTTTGTGTCTTGGTTCTACACCTTTTACGTCCATATAAAAAAATATTTCAATGTGAATTTTACTGAAAAATGTATCGAGAACGAGGAAAAAGAAGAACTGAAAAATGTTGATTAAAAGTACAAAGATATGTAATTTTTCAGTTTCCGGGGACTCTCAAGCTCCTGAAGTTACCAGACTTTAGCGGCCATTTTCTCATTAATTTTATCACTAAACCCGTTGACCCCACCTCGTTCAATCGCAAATATCTCGGACTTTTATTCAAGGAAGATGAGTATTTATTTCATTGAAAGCAAGACAACTCTACATGCCCAAAAACTGACCAGTGCCTGATTCCACAATGCCATGACACCAATGTATTTCGGTTTTTGAAACAAGTATCTTACCCGGAGTAATGCAGGCTCCCATCTTGACATTTACATCATCAAGACCAATGTCACTTGTGTAGCTGCTGCCTTTGATAGCTTCAAAAACAATCTAAGACAACAAAAAAAGAAGATATTTCAGAATGCTACGTGGATAACTTCTCGATACTAGTGAGGTACCAGAGGGATAAGAGGCGGAGTGGGGTGTTTGGCTGTTTTTGTTCTTAAAGATGTGAAGACAGCTCAATATATTATAATAGCAGTAGGGTTGCTATTAGATTGGTGATTACATCAGGCACAGAATGAATGCAAGTGAGAACACTTTCCAGAAAAGAAAACGCCTTTACAAACTTATCAAACTATTAGAAGAATTGTAAGAAGCCTTAAGGGGAGGAGCGACCCTTGATTTTGCAGATTTTGGGTCAGACTATGCAAATTTTATGTCGGCTGATTTTTTAAAATCAATCAGTTTTTTGTCTAAAAATAGCATGGAGACAATTGAGAAAGTCTTCATTCTCCTCGTAAATTGCTTTTGAAAACATGAGGATGGGTTAATATTGTGAATTTTTACAATAATTGTCTTTTTCAAAAAATGTAATTTTTTTGCAATTTTTTCCCTACTCCTTCCTTACTTTTCATCCTTTTGACATGAAACTTCCAGGAAACATAGACGGCAAGGCTGCGATCAATGTAACAGAGAAATATTTGAGAAAAAAAAAACATTTTTCCATTGGCAAGTGATGAGGCAACCTAAATTCAGAAAGTTTTTTATTCTTTGGGAAAATTCTCATATTTCTTTTTTCATTTGCACTTATTGAAAAAAACTCCTTGTTTAGGTATACTCTCACCAAATTTGACGTAAATAAGGAAGCCTTCAGGATTCTAAATTCATTGTTTATTTTCAAGATGGCGGTCATTTACGTAGCAACCGCTGCAGCTATGCCAAAATAAAATTGAGTATCAAGAGATTTTACTATGCTTAACTTATATGTGTGCTTAGATTTGATCTCGGGCAACAAACATAGAAAATGATCCTCAAGGGTAGCTCCTCCCGTTAAAGACATATTGTTAATAGACTTGATCGGAATCAGTTCCAAGAAATTCATGGGATAGGGCAAATGATCTACAGTCTAGCTCGCTTGCACATATACATGTTTCTTTGTATTAACACTTACATAGCGAAATCCACACATGAGGAAAAGATTTCCCAGCCCCACCAACATCACTCTGTGCATGCTAGACTGTAGGCCAATATATACATATATAAGAATCTTCTCGTACACTTTTCTTTTTCTCGTAATAAAAAAAACCTTTCATTTGCCTTGTATCTGCCCATCCCCGTGATTTTATGCACCCCGCATAATTTAGCAAAATTTAATTCATTTTTTACATAATTTCTCATTATTTTCCTTTATCATTCTTTGTCAAAATTCACAGAATCGCATAATTTCCCATTTTTGGGCTCAGTTTGCATAATTTCAGAATTTTTCTTGCATAAAACGACGGGGACAGATCTGCATAATGTCATATGAGCGCCCAAACCCATTGGTTAAGTTTAGTAAGAGTTTTATGAGGCTCGCAACTGCATAAGATCATATGAGCTCGCAAACCTATTGGTTTGTTGCCTGCCTTACCTTCACATTCTTCTGAAGCAAGCTAGAGTGCAATGTTAATTCACCCTTGTTCCACTGGTTGCCAAGATTTCCAGTCATGCTCCACAAAATGGGGCCCAGGCCACTTTGTCCTGCAGTTGCCAGCTGAAGATAAGATAATACAAGATAAGATAAGATAATACAAGATAAGATTAGATGATACAAGATAAGATAAGATAATACAAGATAAGATAATACAAGATAAGATAATACAAGATAAGATAATGCAAGGTAAGAAAAGCTAGGACGAGGTAAGTAAAAAAAAAAAGTACAAAATCAGGAAACAAACTAAACTTCTATTCTGTCGTAAGCTTGGGTTTTTTTTATTCATAGCAGTTTCAAGATAAAGAGACTTTTTGTCGGCATAACCATTATTTTAAAAAGACGTTCTCTGAAATTTGAATTATAATTTATTCAAAAACTAGTCACAGTTTCACTTTGAATTTTTCACACAAGTAGGGTAACTGATCAGGCTATCGATTCAACAAATTTTAAAAATTGGGGCCAGAATTTTAGAAAAAAAAAGGAGTTTAGTCAGCTTACGGCAGTACTATTAGTGGTGGATGGATTAAAACAACAATGCAAGAGACTCTCTCTCTCTCTCTCTCTCTCTCTCTCTCTCTCTCTCTCTCTCTCTCTCTCTCTCTCTCTCTCTCTCTCTCTCTCTCTCTCTCTCTCTTATCAATATCTTAATATTCTGGACTCTGGCTGATTTTCTAAAAAGTAGCATTTTTCTCAGACTAAAAAGGCTTGATTTCAAAGAAATTTTACAGTGTAGAGTTATGATACAGGATTAAGAAATGACACTATAAAAAGAGCCTAACTGCCTAAATAGAGCCAGAGTTTTTTTAACTGCGATAAAGAAAGAAGCTCACCCGGACGTTCAGTAGACCCATGCTTCCTCCAAACATGTGGTAGTAGAAGGAAACACACAAGTCTTGATGAACAGGGACAAAGGATGGGCTGTCTAGACGAGCTGTTGTCCCAGAAGCCCCACTGGAAGTCTCCAGGTACATGTAGTATCCTACACGTGACAAAACAAAGACCGATGTGTGAGGCATCATAGTAAAATCAGGCTCTCGTCAAAATAATGAAATCCAAGAAACAGGCATTTTTCTACCAGTTTGGTAATTTTTACTGAATGTTAATATTTTCGGCTCAAAAACCTTTTCTGTCTGTATAACAACACATTTCCATACGGATTTACTCAAAAACATTGATTAAAGGCACCCAAAAAATTGGACTTTCCAGTTTTCAAGGGCTCTCAAGATATTTAAGTTATCCCCACTTTCTTCAATCGCAAAAATCTGGACTTCTATTTAAGATAGATGGGTACATTTTTTATCAGAAGCAAAACAAATTAGCAAGCTTTCAGAAGATACCAATAACTCCGGAGTCCCAAAAACTGACAAGCGCTGTGATTCCACCTCGTCATGACACATAATATGTGAGACAGCTTGGTGAAATCAGGCGCTCGTCAAAATAATGAAAGTAAAGAAACTTACACTTTTCTGCTGGTTTGGAGAATTTTATCGAAATTGTGTTTTAAACTGTACACCTTTTATGCCCATTTAAGAACCCATTTAAGTGTGAATTATATTGAAAAACGTTGAATGAAGGTATGAAAATATAAATTGTCAGTATCCAAGGACTCTGAGGCTTTGAAAATAACCAAACTTTGGCAGCCATTTTCACACTAATTTTACCCCTGAAACCAGGCGACCCCACCTCATTCAACCACAAATATCTCAAAATGTATTCAAGATAAATGAGTAATTCTTTCATCGAAAGCAAGGCAAATGACCAAGCTTTAAGGTGATACCAATAACTCCACATGCCCAAGAATTGATGAGCGCCTGATTCATGACACATTATTAAAGAGCCAGCCGCTATAGCTCTGTATCAAATTTCTGTGAAGATTTTAATGAAAAAGTTGATAAAAGACACTAAAAATGAAAATTATTTGTTTCCATGGTCTCTCAAGCTATGTAAGACACCAGACTCTGCCGGCCATTTTCTCGCTTATTTTATCTCTAAAATCAAGTGACCCTACCTCCTTCAATTGCAAACATCTCGACATGTATTCAAGATTGATGGGGAATTTTTTCATCATAAGCAAGACAAATGAATCAACTTTTTAATGATACCAATAACTCTATAAACCTAAATTTTGATGAGCGTCGGATTCCACCACGTCGCAACACATATAGAGCATGCTGACTCCTAACTTTATAGAGAACCGACATTAATCTGAGGCATCGTGGTGAAACCAGATGTTCGTCAAAATAATGAAATTAAGGAAATCAACATTTTTCCACAATTTGGTAATTTTCATCGATTTCTGAATTATTATGGGCTCAGCACCTACTATGTCCCCTTAAAAACACATTCCTGCATGGATTTTACTGAAAAAAGGTTTATCAAAGACATACAAAAATGTAAATTTGTAGTTTCCAAGAATACAGCTTTGGAAGTCACCAAACTTTGGTGTCCATTTTCACTCTAATTTTTCCTCTGACAACAGGCAATCCCCGTCTTAAATCACAAATATCTCATATTTCGACTTCTATTCAGGATACATGGGTATTTACCCAATCAAAAAGCAAGGCAAATGAACAAGCTCTAAGACTGTACCAATAGCTCTTTGAGCCCAAAAGTTGACGTGGGCCTGATTCCACACATGTCGTGACACGTATCATTGGTTTGAGAACAAAAATAAAACTTGACCTATCCCTGCCATTAACAGGTTTCGAGCTGTTTGTATCCGAACTTACCAGAACTTGTTCCATAAGTGTGGTCAGAACTGGGTCCAGTATTGACAGAAGATGTCGATCCAAGCATACGTGTCCAGTCTGTATCATCAGAAGTGTCTTGTGTAAATGAGCAAATGCTGGTTTGTTCAAAATCACACGTGAAGGAAGTCCCGTTCTTTAAAGTAATTGTGCTTCCACTTGAGGCTAGAAGAAGAAAAACAACGAGCATTTAGACATTTGAAAATGGTATACTTACAGAGGTCTTTTGATGGAAGTATCTGGGGTCCAGAGATGGAGGATGTGGATGTTGTGCAAGTGTGTGTGGGGGGGGGGGGAGAGGGGGCGGTTAGAAGCAATTAGAGAAGCATGATGAGAAGGTATTGCAGGCTTTCAATCACTCTCTTTGCAAGTTTCTTTCTTCTGCTAATGTCAATTCTAAAAATGTTTCTAACTACTTATCTTTCACATGCAAGGGTGACTTATGCCTCACATATTCATGACTGAATTGTATCAACAAATGGAAAAAAAAGAAGTTATTTTTATATAATTAATTGAAGACCTCAGTAGAAAAACAGCCTTAATAACATGAAAAACATTGAGAACCTCTGTGTTTCCTTCATGAGTTCATATGTAATGCTGCCACTGTTTTTCCAGAAACAACTGTTGTTGGTAGTACATGACTATTGCTGTTTCTGACAAAAGAGGTATTGCCTGACTAAATGGAACAACCCACACAGAGACACAGTAGACCAAAACAGACAGAGGTAAAAAAGTAAAGTTGTGACTGAAGCCCTTTTCCCCTGTATTTTCAAAACGTATAAATACAGTCAAACCTGTGTAAGACGGCCACCCATTGACAAGGAGAAAAGTGGCCGTATAAGACAGGTGGCCGTCTTAGGCAGGACTGATCAAGATAAAGGAAACAAACCATTCCCATCTGAGGCCCCAATCGAAAGTAGCCCCATTGTTGTTGTCTTTGTTGGTGTTGTTGCTGTTGGTTTGTATTTCGTTTGTAATTTTTATTTTGTCGCTGATTTT